TGAACTTCTGTGACCAAATGATAGTTTTCCATTTATTACACCTCAACTGGAGCATAATGCAATATTAGGCTATGTTATTAATCAATAGTTTGTTAACCTTTTTTAAACCAGCTCTAAGCTCCATTTATTTTTTCTCATAAAATTCTCCTGGAAACTTCAGTTCGACTTGCGTTCGACTCGTGTTCGAGTTAGTGAATTGTCCCTTGCGTTCGTCGCTATGCAATACTGACACACAAATGTCAAGAACGACCATAATCATTTCATTAACAGGTATTAATCGAGTTTATGCGCCGCTTGTAAAGGAACGAGTTATTTTTACACAGGCTTTTCGAAGAAAACCACCGTGGGTGGGCTTAGAAATTATCCACTTTTATGCGCCGTACTTGAACTCTATTGCTAAAGAATACGGCTCAAATTTCCCTAACAAACACACGTAATGGTTTTAATGTTTTAGAGTAAGTTTAAAAGGATTGTTAGTTTTATTGATAGGATAAAAAGGCTGTAACATAAGTTATGAGAAAATTTAATTGAATTGTTTGTTAATGCTTCGTTTGGGAGGACCAGCAGTGGGATGAGGATGGAATCTAAATGGATAAGTACAATCGTTGTAAACAATAAACCTGAAGAAATAATTACGTTAGTAACATATAGTTTTTGTTTGTGAAGACTCCTTTAACTCCTTTATGTATTTAATGGGGATAATTGTTAGTGTCGTCATTACGATAGCTGATCGAAAATTCGTAAGACGGAGGGGGAGTAAACAATAATATACCTACCTATATATAAAACGTAACGTTGTTTAATATTGTAATTATAGTTCTCTTATACTAATAATTTATTATTTATTTATACACTTACCAATATTTATTACAATGATCATGATATGCAATCAATTATTTACATTAACAAATTAATAAGTCAAATGTAATAAAGAATTATACATGTAAACATGACATATTTAAATATTAAAATGATTAAAGCTAAGTTTTAAGAATATAATAATTTAAGTCGTGCTAAAAAATGCACAAAGTACATTTTTAAGCCGGCATTACTATATTTTTTTCCTCGCAGTCAAATTATTTCTCGCAGTAGGTACCTATATATGCCTATCATCTCTCTATGCCTCCTAAGTCTCTATTGTAGGAATACCACATCCTATATTGTAAACCTGGGAAAGGAAAAGTTTAATTTAACATTTTTAGTTATAAGCTGCTTTGGTTATAGACCCGATTCTTTGATAAAATACACACAACAATTAAAATACAAAATACAATTACAACATGTCTTTTTAACTTAAGTTTAAAAAAAAACTAGTTATCACGTATCAATATACCGGCTCTATAGTGTCTTACTCAAATAAAATAAGTGGAAAAATAAAACTTAATTTTATTATAATATACCAACCCTAGTACTTAATCTCTATTAAATCTAAATTAAATTAGGATTTGAGAACCCAAAATCACAGCGTAGTAACGAAATTTCTTAATAGATAGATCCTCATTACTCAGTCTCTTTTTTTTTTATTCTCCAATTTTCACATTTGCAGATGAAAACATATGTTGACATTAAAGGAATAAACAGCGTGTTTCTTTATAAAATATGTTGCGTTTTTATCTAGGTATATGTTCATACCTTTCTTTATTTTTAAATTATGCCGATTGCGTGGAAGAAGCAAATTTAGACGGATCTAAAAAAAGCAAGAACACAACGCAATCTTCAATCCGATATAACTCCAGCGAATCACTCCAATTGAAAGGGACCCTCGAAATTTAAATAAAATACTCTACCGCATTTCCTTTTGATGAGGAAATATTCAATAATAATGTCGTCTCAAAAATCACTCAATACTAGGGATGGGAGATGCGGTTCTTCGGTTCAAATTCCGAAGATGTGTATATATTTGAATTTGGATTTGACAGGAACATAGTGAAATATTTTCTCAGTTCACTCTAGTACAGTTGGTAAGTTAAAACGTTATATATAAGATAAAGTTAGATAAATAAAATAAATTTTCCACCTAACAAGCGTCACTTAAGATAGGTATGCGTCATGTTAATTTAAAATGTAAAAGTTATAAGTGAAAAGTAAATAATTTAAACGACTATTTTCGGTAAGACCTAATTAAGACAAACATTTGACTAATCGGATGCGATTCGGCTTCGGTTAAAACCACATTGCCCACCCTACTCAAATACCCTTCGGTTAGCACTGTTTCGTCGTAAACAGAATCTTCCGTGGAGATAAATCTTTAGTATTCAGTTAAAGGTTTAATTCGACAAGGTTGTAACGCCTCTGAAGAGGGCGAAGGGAAAATTTGGTTACAAGGGCAGGTGTCTGCGTTAAAGTGTTTTCGGGTTTTGACAATTGAGTATTTCGAATTATTGGATCGTCGTATTTGTTTTAATTAACGTAGGAGACAGGTACTTGAATGGTTGAAAAAGTATCTATGTATGACTTGTCTGCACACATTTACATAAAACACTTTTACTTTCGGTTCGTAACGTTTCTACAAAGCACCCGTAACGTCGGGCCGTAGTAAAGATGAATTAAAAATAAAGTTAACTAATATAAGTCGCGTTTTAAACCTCGAACGGTATTTAAAATAGTACCATTGTAGTTAAGAATTTATATGCAAATTGTATGCACTTATTACTTGATGTATTTTTCTTTACGTCTTAATTTAAAATAAAATACAGTATATATCTAAGCTGAAATACTATGTGGTTACCTAACTCAGTAATTGTAGATATTAATCCATTAGTTATACTATTGTCGGGCCAACATGAAAAATCATTCTTTAACATAAGTCAAATATAATTTAACAGACTTTGTAACTTTGAACTTCATTAGTTTTGTGGTACGTCAAGCACGGACGAGAATATATCGAATTTATATTTATATCCACGCTACTCCACCACAGATGGCGCTGTAAAAGTTTAGAGTATAAATGTCTTTGATCTATCTATCGATTAACACAGTGGCGTCCTTAAGGACGCCAAAAATATCCAAATTAGTTTTAGTTTTACATAAACCTCCTTATACTTAACTAACGTGCTGCCTACTAAAGGGAAAGAGTATTCCTTGTTGTATAAAGTGGGACAGACATATTTCTCTGTACACTGGTTGATTTTATTAACTGTAACTGTAAAGTAAATAACATTAGATCGCCTTAGGTACCTTACCTCGCATTGTGCCCATGGCGTTAGGCCATTATATGAAACCCTTTTTCATTGTTAGGTACAGGAATATCCAAGATAAAACTTATATATATATATATATTTCGATAAATAAATAAAAGAAAATTATTTTTAAAATCTTTAAAAAAATCTCCTAGTCTCTATTTCTATGTTATTATGTTTCTACACCTAGATATAGTAAAATACTATAAACATCGTTGAATACTTTTATTCTATTGAGTATATAAATAAATATTTTTATAAGTAGACCTTACACAACGCACAATGGTTGCTAATACCTAAATATAAAACCAAGATACTGTAAGTTATACTTACTGTAAGTATGTTGGGGGAAAAATCTTTCACACCAGTGTAACATAGACCTTTCCCAATTCCCCAACAATGTTAAGTGTACTTAACATTATAATTATCTGTTTATTTAAAAAAAAAATAAAATTTTTTAAATTTATTTGGTACCTAAATTATTCTCGAAGTTCAATAGACTAGTATCTGTAATAAATCTTAAGAACCAGAAAAATAAACGATTGAATGATAATAATTATTAAGCACGCGAACATTCAGAAATTACGACTTTTAGTTCAATAGATAAGGTAGCGGCGTCGTATTGTACATTTTTCAATCTTAAATAATGTTAAAATGTATACCTATACCTATACGAAATAGGTACAAATACAAATATTCTTTATTGTCACAAAATAACAACAATATACAATATACAAATTAATGAATGAATTGATTAAGGACAAACGGCGACTTTATAGCTAAATAGCTCTCTTCCAAGGAACCGTGATAGAAGTGAAAATTCAGTAATAAAAAAAGGATTGCGTGACAAAAAAAAGACTTAACTTACATACTAAAACTAATAATAAACAATAATACAAAATGAGAATCTTAACTAAGTTACTTAATTAGGCATAAGTAGTGGGACTTGACAAGATTCTTTAAGGAAGCGGATTGAGAGATTCTGGGCTCTTCTTATATTAGAAGGTAAATTGTTCCAAAGTTTTATAGCTCTGACATGAAGGGATGAATTATAGAATCTAGTTGAGTGAGAAGGAAAACGTAGTCAGGCTTTCGTTTGACCGGAGATTAAGACCTTTATCGGAGAGGAACTCAAATTTTTCTTTCAGGAAAGTTGGAGTCTTCAGAATTCAGGATCAAAGAGTATTTGGAAAAGAGGAGAAAGAACATGTAGATTCCTGCGTAAACGAATAGGGAGCCAGTTGAGGGCGGAGCGAAATTTAGAAACGTGGTCAAATTTACGAAGGCCAAACACAAATCGGTAATAAATAATAAAAAATAGGTAAATGCATTACAAATAGAAGGAGAAAGCCGTCAATAGGTATATCAATATAACAAGGATTTTATGAAAGATTTCTCGAGATTCTAGTCGACATGAAACAAGAGTTCTAGAAAGAGGTTTATCCATAAGTATGCCCGGATTATCAACTTTCAATAAAATTTGCCGTATTTTTGTAAACTTAAATGGTTTTTTAATGATTAAATCTTTATAATTAACAATTATATATCAGGTTTTTTAAATAAAACACTTTTAACGGATATTTTTTTTTTATGATTTACCTTTATTTTTTTCTAACTACGGCCCGACCTAATTTTTCTAAATACTTTTGATAACATTTCAGGTTTTAAATTATTAAAAGCATTTCATTTAAATGTGTACTACTCGTGTATACTACATACGCTAAACATGTATATATGTGTTACGATTTAAGGAAGGTATATAAAGTATTGTATAATTTATAATATATTAGGAACTATGTGTCACGGAATATTACTTAAATATTATCTGCCAGCCGAGTAGAAAGCCGTTGAGCTCGTGAGAAAATTGGGTATTTCTAGTGCAAGAGCACGACATAAAAATCGTAATGGCAGGAGGCAGACGACTCGTTGTGCGGAGGGCACAAAAGATATCGCCGTAACGAGCTCAATTGATGAACGAACGGAAACGTGTCCAATTAGAAAGAGGCGACCGCGTCGGCTTCGGTTAGACGAGGCTCCAATTTTATCATATTTCACCTGTGGAGGGGATCGAGACAGCGAGGAATAGGTGAGGTTGTAGATCAGGCCGAAATACATGGCAAAACGACCCAATGCCAAACTCTGGAGCGACCTAATTGAAATGGTTACGAACTGGCAAAATTCTCTAAGAGTTAATATATTTTTTATAGACTTAAGTACTTAGGAAGAAAAATTTGCAAAGGTTGACTATATACATTTTAAGTCGAAATTCGTTCGTTTAGCAGTTTAAACATGTTTTTGGCAATTTTAGCTGTAATATCATTCCAGCTGCATGTGTGTATTTAGTCGAGATCGACAGATTAAACGTATCGCAATTGCCAGCTGCACCTGTTATTTATACTTACACGATGGAAAGATAGTTTACGATCGACGGTGACGGAGCACCTACTTCTAAATAGGTGCAGATGAAGCGACGCGCCGTGCAAAGCGAGAAATGTGCGCGTCCGCGCGGCGTCGTGCGGATCGGTGCGAGCGAGGACGAGCGAACGCTAGGTGTGGCGGTGGCGGACACCTCGGCGCGACGAAAAAACAAGGCTTGCGGCGCCGCGGCCCCGCCCGCCGGGGCGAAGGGCGCGCGGCGCGGAGGCGCGGCAGGGCGGACAGCGCCATTGGCCGCGGCGGGAGGGGTGTCGGAGCCGGCGCCGCCGGCGGCCAGTCGTTTGACGCCTGCCGCGCGAGCGGGTGTCGCCACGGAACGTGTCACGATCGCGCCGCGAGTGTATCCGCGCGAGCTGGAGCGCGTTATGGACGTTGCATGAGCGGGCGCGAGCGCGACCGCTGGAGCCGACGGGCACGCCGGCCGTGGAGCGCGCACCGTGGGCCCCGGGCGGCGCGGGCATGCGCTTCGAGGGCGCGGAGCGGCGCGACGCCGTCGCCTTCCACCCGCTGCTGGCGCCGCGGCCTAGCGACTTCTCGGTGTCGGCGCTGCTGACGGCGGGCGCTCTTCCTCCGCCTCCGTACTTGCCGGCAGCGCTCGCCGCCGCCGCCGCGCTGTCCGCGCCCTGTCCGCTGCTCAAGCCGCCACCGCCGCCTTACGCGCCGCTGCCGCCAGACGACGACGGCGTCGTCGACGACCCCAAAGTGACGCTCGAAGGCAAGGACCTGTGGGAGAAGTTCCACAAGCTGGGCACCGAAATGGTGATCACCAAGAGTGGCAGGTCAGTACGGCTCCGCCGCGCCGTAGTCGCTCCTCTGTGCGTGTCTCGGCCCATGTTCTTCGTGATTGTGTTGTGTGTGGTTACCGTCTCTTGCGTTGTCTTTGCCGTGGTAAGTCGTAAGCGATATGTGTGTCCGGTCTGCAGCCGAGAGAGCGATGTTTGGGAGCGGAGCGCGTGGATTTGTTTACAATAACAATCCACTGATTTTATAACTTAACGCAACACTCAGAATCACTAATTCTATCTCTATCGAGGCATATAATTATAATGACATCTTTAAGGAACCGGTTTCTGCTAATAGCGCTAACTTTGAATATACTTAAGAACATTTCCTGTTCTGTCAATCGAGTCAGAAATAGGAAATATTACTAAGTGCTTACCATATCAAAATGCAAACCTTGTTTAAGTTTCAATAAAAAGTAAGTAAACATTTTACCAGCCTTTAACTTACAGTAAAATAGTAGAAGCTCTATCTTTAAATTTAACACACGAAGAGTAAAATAGAAGACTTCTATGAAAAATTAGGTATTTAAGTGGTTAGATATAACCATAATATAAAAACAGACTATCAACTAGCCATGTTTGTCGTGATAGGCGCATTTTTTCGCAAACACAGGCGTCCGACGGCATTGCAAACTCACAAACCTAATAAAATAATTTCCATCTACCTTACTTTTGCTAAGACTTATCAAGAATTCTATCAAAAATCCAAAATATCATGACAATGTTATCTAGGTGTAGAAAAATAGATAGATTTGTTGGATATTTTCTTATTTGAATTTTTAGTTCGCGAAGATTTGCTTTCTTTTATCCTAAATTATAATTAATCGTACCTATTTCACGTAAAATTTTACATATTACAAAGTATTTAAAAGCTACTTATTAGAAGATCTGAAGTTGATAAATTGAGTAAGACATAATAACAATGTTCATATCACATATAGGTATCTGTGTCTGAAGTTCTGGTATAAAATACATTAAAACTGTTCTACTAATGTCTAAAACGAACGTTTTGAAAGCACGCCTTTATTCCTTTAAATTAAAAATAAATAATCTGATTAAGTAAAGTAGAGAATATGGTAAGCATATATTAACATGAGACAATTACATAAAATATAAATTATTAAGTTATAAAATTATTAGGTATCTACTTATCTACCTAAGTAAATATTTTAAATATTAATATAATTAATTTTAAAGCTCCGTTTTAATTGGTAGATTTTAAATCTAGATAAAGATCTGTGCGTATTAAGGAAAATAAATAAGTTCTAAACAAAAAAGTTATAATGCCCGTGGCAATAAAACTTAGTATGTAATTAAATATTTAATGTGTCTAATACATACCTATTTACTTTACAATACAGTCCAATTCTATGGGGCTATGAAATGTCAAAATTATAATAAACAGACACTTTATCATAATGTAAGTTGATCTAATAAAACTTCAGTTTGCAGTCACTACTACCTTAAGGATAAGTTATCTCCGTTCGTCGTTAATAAAACTTATAAAAATCCAATAAGACTTTTAGTTGTGACTTGAAGAATACGTACCTACAGAGGTATAAAACGACTTTTTTACGGTTTTCATTGTTCTAATAGTAGCCATGTATGGATAATAAACAACGGGTCGTGAGCTTGACACCGGTCAGGTCCAACATGTGTTATTTAATTTATAATTTTTCAGAAATACGTAGGACTTCAAATATATAATAAAATATGTTTAAATATTCATACATTAAACAGGCAATATGAATATCGAAGTTCCTTCCAGGTCATGAACCATTGCTCATAGAAAAATCCATGTTCAATTGCGTTATGGTTTCAGCCTGTGGATTTCCGATGCTTGTGTTATATGGGTATGGTATTCCATCATGTAATATGGGGGTTACATGATGAATACCATATACCATATAGTACTTGTCTATCTCCATAAATCATAAATTTTTTTTTTAATCCTAACATGTACAAAAATACCTACGCATAAGATGCTGGGTTAACCCACGTCTTTAACGTTTGGACTACCTATTTAGGTAAATAAATAAAAAAGCCGCAAGTTGACAGTATACAAAATTACTTTCTTCAATGCTAAATTATTATTGTGTAGGAATAATTAGTAGGATATTGTGTAGGAAGGATATGTGTGTCTTCAATATTATTGATTTATTTATTTAAGAATTCAGGAAACAAACAGAAAAATCACAGTTACATATTAAAAAGAATTGAAAACAAAAAATATAGTACAAATAGATTTATAATATTTACAGATAACCTTGTTAATTATATGAATATAAACAGGCACAGATTATCCTAATCCTAATAAAGTAATCGTAGATAATATCAATCTATGCCTAATTCTAATTGTCAAGCAATCATCATTTTCTTAAGTGCGTTCCGAAATTATCGTAGCGCACAAACTCGGAAAGAGCATAACACGAAAACAATGTTTTTCAAAGTATCCGATCGTGGGAACCAAGGGTCGGTTACCGCCAAAATTTCAAGGGTGACACTTGAAACATCAAAGCGCGGGAAATTTCCAAAAAGAAAACAACTTGCAAGAAAACCACAGACGATTATTCTGGCGCTCGCTGGCGTCTAGTCACAGAGTAGGGGTAGACAAGAGATTCGTAAACTATTTGTTATTTATTTTACATTGTGCATTTTTAAAAAATATAAGATATTTTTAAGACGGAGTTCCATGATAAGGTGTTTTACGATGGATTAATGAAGCCCAAACTTTTATTATTAGAAAATACATCTTGTCTACTTTAATTATTCACCAATAGTCTGTCTCTCGTAAGCGTTTGTAACAGTATACAAAAGATTTTCTGGTAACTTCACTTCAAAATTTATTTTCATGTACCTATACCTAAAAAAAACTTTATTGAACTGGGTCTACATTAACCCTCAAATCTATTTATAATCTTGTTTAGATTAAAGATATTTACATTTTAAAATAGCGATGGATTATTTAATTTAATATTTTAATGAGAAGTTCTAGGGAATTACTATTTTTTTTCAAATAATCAATCGTCACGTTCAAGTCAAAATCAGTATTAACTAATACTTTACTGTAAAGTATTAGTTAATTCATAAATTTCCTTTTTCTACCTTTTATTTAATAAGTAAACATGTTATAAATATGATTTTCAATATGTACCTATCCTAACTTATATTTTGTAGTTGCTTTTCATCTGTCAAAATAAATCACTTGGCCAATTAATCGGTCTTACATAAGTTAATTAAGCAACCTATTTATTTACACCTTTCGTTTCGGCCATGTTTGGTTTTACATGGTAATCTAGAGGTAATTAATTAAATACTTATATCTTAATTAAGGGACTCATTAGCAATCTTAAATCCGCAATTTTATAAACGGGTCGTAACTTACATATAAAACTTTAAAAAAATAGTACCTACATATTACACTCAAATAAGAATTCTGGTTAATATTTAGATGTGTAATATTTTCCAAATATAAGTAGAGCGGTTCTATTAAGAAGCACTTCCTTTTACACGTCTTTGGTTTAAATCTTTACTGTACGATTTTAATAATTTAATTAACCGATTACCAAGCTGTTTTAAAACACACTTATCTAACTATCCTAATCGGGTAGAACCTGGTCTTGAATCAAATTGTTGATTTTTCTGTAATGTTAAACTTCCGTTTATAAATCTGGATATTAAATGAGTGTAGTAAACCTAAAAATTTCGCCCGGGGCATGAACCCCTGTCCGCAGATGAAAACCCCCGTGAAGTTTCATCGTGTCTCGGTATTAGTGGGTGAGTTTTTAAAATGCCTAAAGCCAAAATATAGCCATATATGGCAGGAGAATTTTACCATTAAGTAAATCTCATGCTTGTCTATCCTCCTCCATAAAAATATATATTTATATTTAATTGGTCCATCGAAACGTAACGCCAGTAGTTAAAAACTGTCTTCTTATTTTCTCTGGGGAAATTTTTAGATAGATATATGCATGTTTTTTAAAATGACATAGACGAATAGAAACAAACTATAATGAACTAACTTATTTCTTTATAAATTTCACACGTTGCGTCTATTGGTTCAAGATCCGCCTGTGCAATTTTTATTTGTAATATCGTATCGTACATTTTTAACACTGACGTAGTAGTTATGTACTTACCCGTTTGAGGTTTTACATGCAACACTAAATTACCACTTCATAATTTAGTGTTACATGTAGAACCTCAAACAACAAAAGCTAAGTAGCTTCGTAAGTGACATTATAATAATATCTAAAGCGAATAAATTGCAAAGCTTACGCGCTGATACTTGCAACAATGTAACGCTTAACAGTTGCATTATATCTAATTATGGACAAATTGAAAGTTTACATTCATCGTTTGCTAATTATTTCGCCGAGTACTTTTCCGTTGCGACGTTTAAGGTTGTACTTTAATACCCTTGTATTAAGGAACTTTTTTCTAGTACATAGTATATGATATGTATCTATATATAGATACATAATTTTGTAATACCAATCACGCCACTCCACCAATAAACTCTATATAGTCTATGTATTGATGTATTTTTATTAAGGAGCTAATCTATACCTAAACACGAAACATATTGTTTGGATTGAAATTTAATAAAAATATTATCTCACTTCAGCATTTAAATTAAAAAATAAATTGAAACTAGTTATAACGCGAATGTATATGCTGATTCCCGTCTAAAATTACAATCTTCATTGAAAATTTGAAGTAACACCTACTATAATGGAAAACCATAATATAATAAACTAGCGACCCGCCTCGGCCTCGCTCAGGTGCAATGCTGGTACTAAATACTATGTGAAAGCCCGTTTCCCCCTCGTGGGGCATGGGGCGAACACATTTCTGTGTCCGTTTCATTGTCTTTTAACAAGCAAGTAGTTGATCAGACTTCTGTCGAACCCAGGAGCTCTCGCGCGTAACGCAATGTTTAACCATTTCGCTACAGAGGCGATACTAAATACACTATAGGAAAACTTTGAACTTAAACAACTCCATCAATAAAAAAACCGCATCAAAACCCGTTGCATAGTTTTAAAGATTTAAGCGCACATAGGGACAAAAAAGTTTTTGTCCCTATATGTGTTTGTTTTATACTAGGTACGTAGTTATGAGAAACAACTGCATGCAGAAGTTTTAAGATAATGTTGAAGATCTCTTTTAGTGGCGTATTTAATA